GACGATGCCCGCCTGACCGGCATGGTGGGCGATTACCTGCGTGCCGCCGGTTTCGACGTGAGCACGGCTGGCACCCTGGCCGCGGCGCGTGAGGCGCTGGCCCACAGCCGCTTCGAGCTGCTGGTGCTGGACCTGATGCTGCCGGACGGCGACGGCCTGGACTTCTGCCGCTGGCTGCGGGGCGACCCGCGCTGGCGGCACCAGCCCGGTGCTGATGCTGTCGGCCCGCGGCGAGCCCGATGGACCGCATCCTCGGCCTGGAGCTCGGCGCCGACGACTACCTCGCCAAGCCCTTCGAGCCGCGCGAGCTGCAGGCCCGCATCAAGGCGCTGCTGCGCCGCCTGGAGCCCAAGCTCGACGGCGACGAGGTGCTGCGCTTCGGCCGCCTGGAGATCGACCTCGCGGCCCGCGTGGCGCGCCTGGACGGCAAGATCTGCGACCTGACCAGCCACCAGTTCGACCTGCTCGTCGTGCTGGCGCAAAGCCCGGGCCGCGTGCTCAGCCGCGACCAGATCATGGACGCGCTCAAGGGCCACCCGCTGGAAGGCCTTTCGACCGCTCCATCGACGTGCACATCTCGCGCATCCGCGCCGTCATCGAGGACGACCCCAAGAACCCGCGCCGCGTGCTGACCGTGCGCGGGGCCGGCTACGTCTTCGCGCGCAAGCAAGACGCCGACGCGGACGCCGCTTGAAGTCGCTTTACGTCCGCATCTACCTGACGCTGGTGGCGCTGCTGCTGGCGTTCGCCTTCGGCTCGGCCTGGCTGTTCCAGCGGCACATCGAGCAGGAGCGGGGCAGCGTCGAGTCTGCGGCAGGTGAGCGGTCTGAACGCGATGGCCGGGCTGCTCAAGCTCGCGTTGCCGCCGGTCACGGCGAGTCGCGAGGAGCAGGCGGCAGCCTTTGCCGACTGGGGGCAGCGCCTGCGCATGCCGCTCGCGCTGGAGGACGCCGAGGGCCGGCGCATCGCGACGACGCAGATGTTCCTGCGCCGTGCGGATGATGCCGGCGCCAT